ATTTGGTGTTGCAGATTATGTTGTTCTATGTTTGGATTTGGTCATGTTCATTTGTTTGTTCGTTATGTTAGCTGCAAATATTCAATTGCTATGGCCTATGTGTCTCTATGGGGTTGTTTTTGTTTTTTTTTTTAATTACTTTCTAGTTCAGCTATGGATTTGGGGGTGGTCAGGGAAAATGCTATAAATTAACCTAGCTATGCATTATGTATAATTTTTACTTAGTTCACTAAAGTGGCTACCTAATATTCTTTCATCATTTGGATTCCTAAGGCAAATTGCTACTAAGTTAGGTTAGCTATTGATTTTTGTGAAAATATTGCTTTGCACACGACCTTTAAAGTAGAACTTGTCATTTGTCTACTTTTTCTTGGCCTAGAGCTAAAATATCAATAGAAAGATTTGGACTGATTTTGCAGTTTTTGGTTGGAGTAAATTTCTAACTCACTTTCCTTTCTGTTCATTAGTAGAATCGCAGGTTTTGTATACAGAAGACAGTCACTAGATTCCAGGCAAAACATGTACTCTACTTGCATTTGCCATTTGCTACTAAAATTCCAGGCAAAACAAGTCAAGTTGCACCTCATTAAAATACAACCATCTATATATATATATATATATATATATAATTACTGGCTGATGTATTTAATAAAATATTTAATAAAATTTATTTTCATTTCCCTTCAAAAGAAGTTATATTTTTTTAATTAATTACTCGCTAATCTGCTAAAAACATTACACCTTAATATATATATTTTTATTATTTATTTTTTGGATCAGTTACTAAATTAATTTTAAATTTGGTAACAAAATATTCAGATGTGTAACAACTAATGTTGGAACTTAAAGTTGATTAGCACATTCAGAGCTGTAACCGCTATATTTGGTTGTAGTTGGAAGATTGACACATATTTTTTTTTTCTAAAAATCAGAAACACCATTAATTTTTTTTATTTATGTTAATTTTCTTAATATATGCCACAAATATATAAATTATTTTATTCATGTTACTAATGTAAACGTTGCATGGTTAAAATAAAATTTAAATCTCAATTAATTTTGAATAATAAAAATAACTTAAGAAAAAGTAATTATTTTTATATAATAGAAGTACATGTCTACTTAATAAATAGAAACAAAAACGTGTTTTAT